TCAGAATGGCTGGTAAAGTGTTGTCTACCCCGCTGGGTGTAATGGCTTTGATGTCATCATGGTCAGCTGTGGAGACCCTGTATGTTCAAGGAAACCACACCCAATACCCTCATGGCTATTCTACAAACTTTTGGTGGCAGTTTATGAATACAACTGCTCACTTGAACAATAGGACAGACTGCTATGTATGTGCTCATATGCCGTTATCCGCATATACATCTGGACTGTGGCCGTACAGCATACCAGAGGACAGGAGTTGGTGTCTGTTGGGCTTAGCAACTCATCCTGGCAACAGAGTCCTCTGGTCCCAGGCCAATTACAGTACACCTCTGAACATCACCTGGAGTAAGTCACCACTTCTAAACATGAATTGTTCTGAGCAAACTGACTTATTGGCCTGGCCTCAAGTGTCAGACCCACTGCCGGACATAATATTGCTGAACAAGCTGAATACAGCCCAATTGCCGTTGTGTGTGATGAACAATGGATCACTGTCAGTGGGGGAGCTGCCGCTTCACTTATGTGGATACATATACACCTACTGCCCTCCAGAGGATGAGAGCAGGTGTATGAAATGCTTGACCGATGCAAAGTGCGCTGAGAACTTGACATTAAGGAGGACTGAATGCAAGTCCAACCGGGCTTACAGGATACCAGTAAAGGCGAAGAGTCAGAAGTGGACAGGATGTGCAAGGACGGTGCCGAGCAGTAAAGGAACAAGAGTTTTGGCTGATTGGTATTTCCTGTGTGGACATAAAGCCTATCTATCACTCCCTGAGGGATGGGGAGGATTGTGTGCCGTGGTGAAATTATCCGATCATGTCTTCTTCATGGACAGAGTTGAACATCACCCTAGCAACCGACAGAAGCGTGAGGTGAATTTAGCCTCACCTGACTCGTTTGGAGTGACAGTAGACACTGGAGTGCCGCGAGAATTCCGCATTTGGAGTGGAGGAGCTAAGTTCTTCCAAAGTTTGATCCCAAACATCGGAGTTGCAGAGGTGCGGGATCATGTGGAGATCAACCGATATGCCTTACTGCGACACATTAATCTCACTAAGACTCTGGGAACAGCCTTAGCGGAGGAGCAACAGGCCATCAGAACGATGGTACTGCAAAACAGGCTGACCCTAGACTTGATAACAGCATCACAAGGAGGAGTGTGTTTGGAGAGACATGTTGTACGTTTATTCCGGATGGATATACGACTGGAGGAGACATCTATGAGGCACTGCAGAACTTAACTGCTCTGCAGAAATATGTGGCAGACCACACATCAGGAGGAGACGCGTCACAAGGCTGGATAGCCTGGTTGACATCTGGACCATGGTGGAATATGTTCTTACGGTTTTTGACTCCCATTCTTACATTATTGGCATTGCTTTGCTTGTTTACAGGTTGCATTTTGCCATGTGTAAGATCGATGGTGAATAAAATGATTGCTAACACCTTTACCAATTACATACTGTTGCAGCAGAGTGACATGGATGCTAAGGCTAATATGTGTGTATGAAATGACGCCTGCACTGAAAATGTTGACAAGTGGTGTAGAGCTGAAGATATATATGCCGTATAGCCTTAAAAAATGACAATACAGGGTGGTGATGTTGGGTTTAGATTTTATTATTGTCATTTGTATTAGGAAACATTTAATCATATATGCTTAGAGGTGTATAATCAATTGTGTAGTGATAAGTTGTGTGATCTTTAACAGGCTACAGAGGCTTGGTGTGTATTCCACACTGGAATGCACACCTGCATCTTGGGGGCATGGGAAGAGGTCGCATCTTGTTTTATTGTTTTATGGTAGGATTAACGTAGCTACATTTGTTTTAGTCTAAGTGCTTTTCTGTTTAGATGAACTGCTGGACTTCCTTACCGGGGGGGTCTAGTCTACCCTCTTCCTGACCAAGGATGATTGCCTTCGTGCTTTCATGTTGTTATATGACCTTTGACACACACACACACACACACACACACACACACACACACACACACACAGTATTCTTTGTTCACATGTATACCTATGTAAGATGTTATATGTTAATGACCCTATGCATATTCATGTAACCACAATAAAAGGAGTGCTGTGGGGAAACCTGGCTGAGAGTCTGACAGAGGTCAAGTGGTGGAACGACGCTTGGCTCCAGCCAGGTCTCCCTCATGCATGAGTAACCAGAGAACTTTGGTGCCTTGAGTCTTGCTTTTTGCTGTGTAGCAGATTGTCCTTAACGTTCCAGCGAATAGGTTTATGTTACAAACCTATCACCAGGGAAAGCCTTCAGTAAGAGAATGCTAAACCTGGCTCTATTAGAAAAGAATCCCGTGGAGACCCTTTCACCAACCGAAGAAATTAATGAAACAAATATGACAAAGACTGTTGAGTAACTAGAATCCTATAGCAGACAAGAATGGAACATTTCTCTCCGCAAAGACCAGCAACTGGTCTCCTCAGTTCACACTTGTCTACAGACTTTAAAAAAAAAGAAAAAAAAAGAAGACGTGTTGCCATAGGGTGGTCTGTTTTCTATGGTCTTTTGCAAAATATGGCTTTTGAGATCACTGAATCATTGAATTCGGTTTTATTTACATTTGATAAAGCACATAAACTGTTATTATTACTGCATTGTATTATGTAATAGATAAACATGGACTGAAGGGAAATCTGAATTTGGGCACTTTAAATCTTCCACGGATAACAAATCGGACAGAAATCTGTAGAAAAGCTGTTGAACATATATCCCTTTTCCTTATCTATGATCTCTCTGTGGTGTTGTGTGTTTCTGATTCTGATGGCCAATGTTTAGCAACTCACAGAGGTTCCAGCTCGAAAAAAAGAGTACTTCAATTATGGGTCAGCCATATAGGGAAACTGGCCTTTATGAGCCTTCACTAAACTGTAGGTGCAGTGACATTCAAAGCCACGCTGGAGTAGCTCCATTTTACGCGTCTGTGTTTTAAATGTAAAATAACCCTCTCAGTTGTAATGTCATGCCGAAATCACACGAATTTTAAATGAAGCTCTCAGTTAAGCTGTTTCACTAACAAGGTGACACTTTATGAAGAGGAATTACTGGTGTGAGGATTTGCTCCACTTCTCCCTTCTTTCTTTCCTTCTGTGTGCTTCTGTGATGATGACTAAACTTCGATAGACTGGCTCAGCGTGTTTGTCCTCTGTCCTCATGATGGCGCCGTTTGCTCAGGCTACGGAGCTGCATGCTACCTGCTGTACCCGGCCTAATATTAGCAGTCTGCTCCAGTTGAAACGCATGGGCTTTAAGTTGTTGTCTTCATATGAATCAAGGAGAGGTTCTAGATAGCCCCCCTCCCGCAGTGACTGGCTCTTTTCGTCATATTGCGTCAGCGTAAACAAAACGCTGACGTGAATGTCTCCGTCTCCCCTCTTTGGCAAACTCTTCAATTGGTTGGTGAGCTATATATCTGATTCAGTGGGGGTGCATAGTTAAACCTAAGCGTCTCCTGACCTCTCCATTTGGCGAATATTACCAGTCCCCACGAAAAATATTCAAGTTTGCTAGACCGGCCTCCGAACCTCCAAGATGAAAAGTCTCATGTATGGAGTAAAAAAGAATGCCAAGTTTTGCTCCAATCATCTGACTGCGGCATTAGAACAAACAATAAAGAGAAAATTGCTCAGAAGCTGCAGATACAGAGAGGTTCGACTTACTCTCCACGAGCTCGAAATTAGACGTCACCAGTCCACTATGGGTGGAGAGGATTAGGCCTTCTTCTTGGTTATTTGACACATGTTCTATATAAAAAGCATTGCATCGTCGTTTTTCGTTTAAACACATCAATCAGCAGATTGTAATGACATAGATAATTTGAGAACAATGCTGGGAAAACGTGAATCGTTTATTCGGCCACGCAGACTCTCCGAACCAGCATCCTGCGTCACCAGCCGTTGTTCAAATCCGATTATGTGCCTCGTTTATTTCAACAATCCAGAGGTTAGGTTTAGACCTTAGCGTTCTCATTGCACGGCCATTAAAGCCACCCCTCGACATCCAGTGAGCAATTATTGTAAACGATTAGAACAAAAAGAAAAGTGAATATAAAGTCTGAAAGCCGCAATTTGAGACGAGTCGTTTCAGCACTGGACAGCTCCCGACTCCCCAGGGGCCTTGGACTTGGTCATCGGAAGCCTGATCACCCTCCATCAAAACCATCAAGTCATTTGAAACCACCAGCACCACTTCCCAGATCAGAGATAATCACTAAAGCGTAATTAACCTATTGGTGACGTGAAAGTTTTATTTATTTATTTTATATTTTAAAAAAAGAAGAAAAAAAAACAAGAAAAGCAGTAGTGGTTAAGGCGTTGACGAACTGATCTGTATTGGGCGTCACATCAAAACTTGATGATTTCATGTATGCATTCACAAGCGTCTCTCTCTCTTTCTCTCTCTCTCTCTCTCTTTTTTTTTTAAAAAAAAGAAGAAAGTTTGAAAGTAAACTTCCATCTTCGGAGGGAGGTGGGGGTGAGTCTGACGGATGCATCGATGAGGAAGGAACTGTACTATTATATTCCGGGAGGAAGACTTGATGACGTCTATAGCATCCTTAATGTGACTTATTGGAGGGAGGTGGAGGACGAGGAGGAGGAGGAGAAGGAGGGGGGCAAGGCTTGCGATACATGGATAAAAATCCAAGGCAATCACAGCACAGGACAAAAGTTTAGAGCAACGATATGTAGACGCACAGACAGCGCGCTCTCCCACCGAGTTTTTGTTTGGCTTTGCGACCGGTTGAGTCCTATTAATTGGGTATAAAAGTGAGATAGGCAGCACTGAGGGGAACATAAGGAGACGACGGAGGCGCTTCAGCCAGGGAAGAAGTGCCGTGAGAAAGATACCGTCTCTCTCTTTCTTTCTCTCTCACTCTCACACACACGCAGACAAGCACTGCCACAACCGCGCCCGGTTCACAACCTACAGCACAGCCTCCTCTCTGCTTTCCTGCTATAGGTATGTGCTTTATCTGCGGACTGTCTTACAACTCGGAGAAATTTATGCTCCAGAGCGAGATAAAGTAATGGAAATTTTTCCCTTTTTGTGAACTGCGTGGAGATCTGCAATTTTTTAGCTACTTTGACGCTGAACATAGAGGATTTGGTGTCATTACCGCAGTGTAACTTTTACAAGATGAGGTGAATAAAACACAAAATATCCAGTTTTTTCTTCCCACCCCTCGTTTTTAATGATCCTTTTTTGGTATAAGCCAGTGGACGCTATCTTTATCCAGTTAATTCAAACAGGTTCATGTTCGAACCAGCTTTTTAGTTTTATTAGTGGTGATAAAGTAGCACCGCCTTGTGATTTTGATACAACAAAGAAAAAGCCGCTTTATTGTCAGGTAACTGCTCTGTTTAATGTTGTGTCTGTTTCTCATTTCCTAACAGCATGGCCAGTTCGAGTAAAGCGACTTTAATCTTGCTCATCTACGGGATCTTTATGCACTACAGCGTCTTCTGCACACCTCTTGGACTAAGTTACCCCAAGATTAGGTAGGTTTCTGGTTTCTGGGTTGTTATCGTTGTCCTTTATGTTCTATTTGAAATGCTCCTCAGCAACACGTTTCATTTAATGTTGCTGTTACGTTTGCTGCAATCAACGAAAAAGAGGTTTGTTCACTTTATTTCAAATAAATGCGCGCAATTGCGCAGAAACTCCGCGCGCAAGTTTTAGAATCTCCCAGTTAAGCATGATAACAGAAGGACATGCAGGCTTTTAAACAATCAAATGCAAGGCTGGTGTGGAAAATGAGTATGGAAATTGCACAGGAGTATCTGTCCGGTGGGACGGTTCACGGAACTCCCCTTATTAAAAATGAGAATGCAGTCGATGCAATGGATAGCCCTCGGGATGACGGTGGACTGGCGTCACCAAGGAGAGGCGAGGCAAAACGAATAGGGGAGCTTTATCCATTTAAGATTTAGTCTTCTTCTTCTTTTTTTCCTTCTTCGGGAAAAGCATATCCATTATTTGGGCGTGGTTCTCGTTGATCAAATTATAAATAAATAAATACATAAAAAAGGTATTTTCTGAATTCTTTTTAATATTTTTGAGCTCCACGCCTACACTAAATGTGATCATTTTCACACCCATTGTTTCGAGTTTTAAATAATTAATAAGGTTGGAGCCGGCAGCATCAAGTGGAATATATATATATTAAAAAAACCCGATTTCTTCCAGAAAGAAAAACATATTCAAAGAAAGAAAACAATACAGCAGGACGCATTTAATAAAATTCAAGTCATTATTTTCGCCAAATTTAAATTATTCGTTTTCTGGCTTATTTTTCTTTATTTATTTACTCTAAAAAGCCTCTTTCCCCCGTTTTTACCCTTTTTCATTGCATTTAACCGCCCGCTGTTTTTAAAGGCAGATGCAGACATTTGGCATCCTTTCACTCCTGCGTCCACACGTGTGCATTGATCAAAATTGTGATGAATGTTCTTTCTTTATGCAGACTTGAAAACGACGCATTCGATGAGGACGGGAATTCGTTATCCGACATGGGTTTTGATAGTGATCAGATTGCTATACGAAGCCCGCCATCCTTAAACGACGACGCATACACCCTATACTACCCACAGGAGAAGAGGTAAATGCGCCTTCGTTTCACAGCCAAAGCCTTGGGCTGGATTCCAATTTAATGACTTTGTTGCTGTTTGCTATAATGTTTGCTTGCTTTATTTTTCCCAGAGTTTCTCATGTTATTTGTCCTGTCTTATTTTCATACCGAGTAGCCTAAAATGTTGATTCCCTGCAGTTGATAATCAAGATTAAAAAAAACGAAAAAAAAGAAGGTCGGCAGATTCGTAAAGGATAGCCTTTAATCTCTTTCTTTCTTTCTTTCTTTCTTTCTTTCTTTCTTTCTTTCTTTCTTTCTTTCTTTCTTTCTTATTTATTTATTGCACTTGACGTGATATTGGACATGCGAGTGGGCGGGAACATTTTAGGCTACTTTTGATCATTTTGTCCGCGCTTTTTAATCTATTTTTTTATTTTGTTTTAATTTATTTATTTTTATTTTAGTCACTGACGATCTATGTGTTTTGGCGTTTTATCATCTCAGACCAGAAAGGCATGCTGAGGAAGAATTAGATAGAGCCTTGAGGGAGATCCTGGGTCAGTTAACAGCGAGACATTATCTGCATTCTCTGATGACAATTCGTGCAGGGTAAGGGCATTTCTTATTAGCGTTCACCTGCAGTCATCATTTTTATTTTATTTTTTTTATGTTTCTGCGCTGCTCAAGTTCAGGCTGCTGTGTCACTGTCTGTCATTTTACGTGCGTGTGTGGTTTATTTCTTCTTCTTAAAAAAATGCTACCCCTCTATATAACGTCTGGACATTTTCATTCCACCGTTTTGCTCCTATTTTGATGTGGCGTGACATTGCATCCACGATTTATGTTCTTTAAGAATAAGATACTGAAATACAGCGCTATTTGTAGCCCTTGACTTACCTATCAATTGATTTTGCTTTTACAAACATTAATGGGTGGTGGTGGGAAAAAAAGCAAGCGTCAGAATATGTAATGGGATGTAAATTAATATTTGATAACCTTTCCAAAACGCTTAAATCACCAAATCTTTCCTCACATATATATATATTTTAACGTAAAAAAAAATAAATAAAATAAAAAATAAAAAAATAAAATAAAGGCCCATAAATGCATTATTAATGACTACTGGCCAGATGAAGAGATGATCAAAGTTGAAATGCCACATCAAAAAGAGCACAAACCAGTCAAGACCTCGCAGCTTTAACTAATGTCACTGTTGTTTTATTTATCTTCTGTATTTTTTCAGTGACGACAACAGCATGGAGGAAGAATCAGAGCCCTTATCCAAAAGACACTCAGATGGGATCTTCACTGACAGCTACAGTCGCTATAGAAAGCAGATGGCCGTGCAGAAATACCTGGCAGCGGTTCTGGGTAGAAGGTACAGACAGAGAGTTAGGAACAAAGGACGCCGGCTTGCCTATTTGTAGCGCTGTTAAGGCGCTCAAACTGCCCTCCTGTGTATATACATCCAGTCGTTAAATCGAAGTCATTCAGATATATCTGACCAACCAGTGGATTGCGCCTGTGTTCTTTCAACATGTATTTATGTATGAAGTAAAGCCATTAAAATGAATATTTTAATAATAATATCGTTTTTTTTTCTTTTTGTACAAAAGCACTTGATACCGCACAGTTATACTTTGTGGACCAATATTTTATTTTCATGTTTACGATGTTGAAAACAAAACAAAATGATAAAAAAAAGAAGAAGAAGAAGAAACCAGTAAAAAAAGAGATAATTGTGCACCTTCAACATTATGCGCTTGAAATCTTTAAAAGTCATCTACATATGCAGAAAATAAATAGATTTTAAAAAGACAATCAAAGTATTGAATGTTATACTTATTTTTGTAACCAACGTTCTATTTTTTTAGTGTTGTTTGTTTTCCAAACAGGCCCAAAGAAGCAGTGAGCATGCTATGTGAGGCATATCCGGCTTATCCTAAATGATAGATGTTGCCCTTGTCCACGCTTCTCCACGCTCCCTTAATGGGCGCTCTGTGGGTTTGTATAGCTTGCTGCCCCTCCAAGGGGAATTCAGACGGCTTTTGTTCCACAGCCTCTCATTTGATGGTTAACCGATTGACTTACACATTCAGTCAATGTAAGTGCTGGTAAAAATTCAACCTTCTTTCCAATTTCATTGCAGGCTTTTGCAAGGGCACTGATGCCTTTACTAAATCGAAAGGAAGCACTCGAGTTGCTGTTAACAGTATGCAGAAAACACTGCTTGCTCACTCGCCTCGAGAGTCATTTACAGTGGGAGATAAATTATGCTCGATACGACTGTCTAAGGAATGTTTCACATATGTGTATTGTGTACAGTATAAAAATTACACAGAGCACATAGTCATCTCAGTGTTGTCTCTGTTCAGTCAACAGGATTAAATGGAGAAGAGAAAGGAAAAAAAATGCTTAAACTGTTGATTGTATTTTGGCAGAGCTCCGAAATATTTAGAAAAGACTCAGAAGGAGCAGAAAGTGATGCAGTTTGACAAAAGAGGAGGAGAGGGAAGGTAGCGTCTGAGTTGGGGTTAGAGATACTGGACTCTTATTTCTGATTTAATGGTGCATGTGAAAACTGACACCGTGCTAATTTTCCCTTACAAACTGCATGCGATTGTGCTTTTGTTGCTGTGTAGGAGATGAGCTGTGCTAAGCCTCTTTCAGCCCCCCCCCCTTTCAGATGTTTTGTGACAGAAATGTGAAGAAAGAGGGCTAGAAGTGATAGAAACTGGTACTGCACTGACTTGTTGATTTTATTTTTACCTGTCCTGCTGCTGTCATTGTGGATATCATAGAACAAGACACTGGACCCCCCTCACCTCCCTTATATGCTGATTGCCTTTGTCTTGGTTGTAGTAGTAGTTCAAGTTTTTTTGCTTCTAGATTGCCATGCCAAGTTTCTGGTTTGATGTTAATGCTCTAGTTTCACTGTAAAGCTGATCTGTGTTAGAGTATGTGAGGAAGCAGGTGAAGAGTGTTAGCTGATAAAGAGATGTGTGTGTGGAGTCGAAGAAAAGGCAGTGGAAAAAGAGACGGTGTGTGTTTGTGTGTGTGTGTGTGAAAGAGAGAGCGCGAGAGAGGAAAGGAAAGCAAAGTAGCCTGTTGCATAAGACACAGGTTACAGCACCCACGAGCCAGAGGAGGTTTGTCGCACGTCAATACAGAACCAAACAAACAAACAAAACAAGTGATGGCACCACTGCCTCTGCTCACCTGTTGAAGTGAGATCAGGGTCAATGAGTCTGATAAAAAAAAATGTCAGACGTTGAATTCCCTTCACTTTGGTTTCATAAGAAGGTTTAAGAGTATGTGAGTCAAGGTGGATCAGACCAGCAGAACAGAGGTGTATGAAATTCAGCCCTCCAGCAGAGGGATATTCCCTATGACTTTTATTGGAGAGATATCTCATGTATTTATTCAACATTATGCAAATGCAGCTTTATGCACCCCTGCAATCTAATCAGTGGCCTGTGTTCCCCCATAGAAACTATCAACACACTCCTTCTTCAATTTGGCTCCATCGCACAGGCTTTGCGTGAGTGCGTATGTGCATATTGCGTTTATCTGTGAGCGTGTGTGCATTTAATGTTTGTTTGTGTGGACGAGTGACTGAACATGCATGCGGAGGTGGAAACAGCTTTTGGCTTTTGGTGCCTTGCTTCGACGTGAGAAAAACATAAAAAATACAAAAAAAAAAAAATACTAAAAAGAATATTCACCACAAGTGACAGATGGCAATTTTAGTGGCCCTACAATGCTGCAGTCCATTAGCTTACATTAAAACTTCCTTTTCCTCTGTTTAATCGCTCGGCTTAGTCTGCCCCAAGAGTAGTAGAATTAGGCTTTCTTTTAAAGCATGGCAATGATTTGTTGAGTATAAAGTATATTAAAAAAGTGAATAGAATGTGTATGTCGGTGAAGCAGGCGATGTATGTGTGTGTGTGTCTGACTGTTTGTGTGTGTGTGTGTGTGCATGGGGTGTTCAGTGTCTGTGAGAACAGTAGACAATGACCAGTGTTCCTTGCTGTTGATTATGACGTGTTGTCGATTATTTTGGGTCAGTAATTTATCAATGAGAAAATATCCCCTACATATTAGAACTTTGTGCATCACTATCTAGATTTAAAAGGGTTTGAAAATATAATAGAGATGTTGTTCAGATCATAGAAAATGCCTGTTGTTGATATTTCTGAAAGCGCCGAACGCCTTACTTCAATGTTTAATCTCTTATCTATCTGAAAACAATGTGTTTTAAAAGTGAACCTTAGTACAAGTGACATCGTTATACACACAGGAGTCCTTATATGGGGTTTTACGTTTGTCATTGTTATGAAAGTGTTGTAAGATTTGTATGAATAAATTTTTGTAAACAACAACATTTTCTAATCAATGTCTAATCTTTGAAATACATCACTTTGTTTTTCGAGGAGACGTGTCTTTTGAACAAAGAAAGTGCAGCGGAGCCACAGTTACATCACACACGCTGACTAGAATATATATTTTGTTTGCAGTTTACTGCCCGCATATGAATGTTGAGCTTACATGAAGAACCACCTATTTCCATGAGCACAGATCTCCTCCTGTAACAAACATAAAGTTGCACAGCAGAAAATAAAGCAGCAAATGCATTGTGTGAAGTTGGTCTAACTTTTAAAAGACACGTTTGCAATGCGTCAAAAGGGAAATCACAGATGTGTTTTTGCATTTCAAGTTGAGGAAATAAATAAATGAACCTGCAATTCAAACTGAAGAACCATCAAACATCTCTGAGGAGCTCATCAAGAGAAGCTACGGCTGAGCTGCAGAGCCCCACACAGGGCTTCTCTCCTCCTGGACTGCCTTGTGTTTCTCCTCACTCCATCCTTGGCCTTGGTAGTGCAGCTGTGTCCTGTGGGAGACGAGGAGGATGGGTGTGGCAAAGGATTATGTGTGTGATCTGATACTCATAAGCCAGCAGGAGTATGTGTGTGTGTGTGTGTGTGTGTATGTGTCTGTGAGTGCACATGCACCAGAGCTCAACTAACCCAATCAGAGAAATGTTGCATGGCAACGGTCCACAAAGGGACACGGTTATGTATACGCATGTGTCAAGTGTGTTTGTATGTGTGGAAAAAAGGAGCGAGACAAAGACGGAGACTGTGTGCATTTGTGTGCATGTCTGAGTGTTTTGGGCTATTTGTGTGCACTGCACAGGCAGACCTTGAGCGGGCTCTGCATTGGAATGGGGTTCTGCATCACACCTTACAGTTTTTGTGCACACGCTGCCTGTTGAACAGAAGAAACAGATGCACAGTGTGTGTCTATCAGAGACACAGTAATAACACCAACAGCTACTGCCACAGAGGAGCACAGGTATTAAATATGATTAATGAAATTCAACAAAGTGAGTTAGCCATGAGAAACTGCCACACACTCATTCGACGTGCATCTCTGTTTCTTCCCTGAAGACACCAATTCATGGGAGTTGCCCTGTTGCTAAGAAAAGGCTGACAGATTGTTGGTTGTCAGGGGCCTTTTTTTTGTGCTAAACCTACCTGTGTGATATAAATGCTGTCTCCGGTCTTTATTTATACCCCCTCTACCCCTTTGCTCTTCTGCTGTCAAAGTGAAAAGCAGCTTCGGTCCACCTGACAAGCAGAGACTGCAAGACTTGTTCTGTATGGAGCAAATGAGGCAGGTGAAACGAACAAAAAAATGTATTCAAAAATAAATTGGATTTGATATTCACCCCCACAAGTGGATATTGAGACAAATGCATCAATTTGTTTGCACAGCTTCCACATAAGGGGCCACCCTTGACCAATTTGTACATACTGTAATGTACATTAATGCCTGAATCCATAAAAGATGGCTCCTCCCTCTTCATAGTGCCGCATCATCTCTCCTCTCTGCACTCTACGTCTTAAATCTGTATTAGCATCTTTGAGCGATTCCACAACTGATTTTTTCGCAGGAGTTGTCTCTCTGGGTTGTCTGTGAAGGTTCTCAGTCTCTCTGGGTTTTTTGTTTTGTTTCGTTCTCTTGGGGGAAAATGGAAAGAGCTCCTAAATTTAGAGTCTAACTCCCTCAATAAACAGTTTGGAATCAAACACGGCTTTTAATAATCAGCTCTCTGCCTCCAGACACGTCTTAATCACGTATGGAGTGTTAGAGGGGGAAGGAGAGGTTTTGTTCAGGGCTTTTTCAGTGGGGATACCCACACCTCTCCCAGTCCCGCATGGCCACACCCATCTTTCTTTGTCACCATGTTTTGATGAGCATGTGAAGCCAGAAGTGTGTATGTGTGTGTGAATGAGCACTACTGCTCTATTGTGTGTATGATTAACATTTCCTTCCCTTCACAATACTTTTGTGTGTGTGTGTGTGTGTGTGTGTTTGTGTGTTTATTTATCTCAAGTGCAAACACTGCCCCCTCCTTCTTCCATAACATCTCTCTTGCATGTCAGGGTTAGGAGTACAAGAAAGGCCCAGACACCGCAGTGATGCAATCACCATCCCACCCACTCCACCCCCTCGCATTTTACCCCATGAATCATTCAGTGGTCAGGTTTGAGCGGGGTGGGGGGTGGTGGGGGGGCAGTCTAGTCATGCCTGCTATGAAACTCTTGATTGTGGCAGCCACGAATCCCTCAATCCTCCTCTCCCTTAAATCCCTTCTTGTGGCGGGCTCTGTCACATCTACCATTGAACAGGCAGCACACTGTGGTGAACATCAACCCCTCTGGGAGCAACGTGTTAGAGAGAGAGAGACAGCAAAGACAGGGAGGGAGAAAATAGGAGATGTGGGCGAGGGTTTGCAGACATGGACCACTGATCAAGAGTTGCTTCTGGCTTAGAGGGAAACACTTTACCTGTGCTGCTTGAGTAATCATGGGTGACCAGAACTATCCATCATTTATTATGAGGCTATTTGGCCTGGAAAGAAAATCACCTCAACCATCATTTTCTCAGCTACTTTACTAAATGTACACGTCTCCAAGCTAAGCTTGAACATGAGTGCACCTTGAAAAAACAATAACCCGACTTTACAAAAATAAGCTCAAAATATCACGTGTAGTGGTTATTCCAACAGTCTTTGGACGTAGGTCAACTGAAGTTTCGTCTTGGATGTGAAGCCCATGAAACGTCTTCACAAACTTGAAGAAGTCCAATTGATTTCTATTTTTCAAGGTCTTAAGAGGTTACATTGTTGCTGATGACTACTAATAAACTGACTAAAGAATGGTGCATTTAGCAATACGCCTGCTATAAACAAAAAGAAAAGAATTAAAAGTCATGAATAAAAATTACACATTCTAACCTATTTAGAGAACAGAGAGCACATCTGTGAAAAAATGAATCATCTCTAGACACCTTGAGGCTAGCACGAAAGGCTAGAAAAACAAGATATTATAAACTTATACAGCTTCTATGCTAGCAAACAGTTGCCTATTTGCATATCCTGTAGATATGCAGCAGATCTCAGATGTGTAGTTATGTCTCCATCCACCTCTCCAAATGTAGTTCAGACCCTTTCAGCTTCTGATTTTTTCTTTCTTTTTTTGTTTTCTTTCTTTGTTTGTCTACATCTTTGTCTTAAGCGCTCTGGTTGCCCATTCCTCTGAAAAACATCTTGCTTTTGTGGCAAGGCTGATGTTGCTGCACTCGAACTAAAAATCTGAACAATAAGCAGTAAAACTTTAAAACCCTCTACGGAGCGGCAGGAAACGGATGAACCGTCTGTACAAGTATGTCCTTTCATATCACACAGTAATTTGATCCAGTCAATATAAACATGTTGACTGGAGCAGTTCTGAAGAAGAAATCAAACAGCCATATCAAGTCTTCCATTTGTAGATGCTTCAGGTGTTATAAAGCTGGGCGTTTATTATGCTTGGGTCTACATAGATGTGGATTTACTTAATAAGACAAAGCGTTTGCCAGAAGGTCTGGGACTGTGCAGACAATAATCTTGTCTGTGGAGGCCAATACATACACCCATTGATCTAAGTGTAGGCTCAAACATAATAAATAGAAAATAATGAATAGTTTGCAAATTGGACCCTCAGTTAAAGACTATTTGCACACTGTCTCTCACATGCGAGTCCAACATGCCAGTGAAAACCCTAATTTGTTAACACACATTTTAATAGGCCTATTCCCAGAACCCCCTATATTCCCGTTAGTCGCTGCTATTTAACTGTAAAAAAAATTCCCCAAACCCCATGGCTCTGCGTTGTTCAACATCAAACAATTTTCTTTAAAGCTGTCTGATCCCAGCTTGGTTCTCCAAAAGACTTGATCTGAGAGCTGTTTTGTCCCATGTGCTTCTCAACATTTCTGCTGGTAGCAGTGGTAGTGGCAGGGGGGGTTGCATTTCAACTTCCTGGGGAGTGGGAGCGGTACTGGGACGTTTTGTTATGCTAATACGTCAAACTCAAAGAACATTTTTGGCTCTTGAAGAGAAGAAACAGGGTCACGAACGACAATATCTAAACCTTACGCACGCAGACCTTAAAGGTTCAGCGGGATGCAAACAAACCAGCATCTTGCAGCCTGACCGTCTTTTTCGCCTTCAATTTTTCTTGCAGCTCGTACATTCGCTGTGCCCATTCTGGTTTAGGGCGAGGCTGTGCAAACACTGAATAATGTATCACTGCTGGTGAAGTTAGGTGCAAAGACTCAGTGTGAGATTTGCGAGAAGAAATATGTTCATGCTCTTTTAATTCTCCTCCCCATCTCTTTCACCTGCCTCTAAAATGAAGGAGGAAGACAGCCTATTACTCCTTCCCCCTACAGACACCCACTGCTGCACCCCTTTCCACATCATTCACCCTCACGTCTCTAAAGTTGTGAGAGATTTCCTGAATGAGATGAGTGTTAATGAATGAAGAACAGTGGAGAGCAGAGAGAGACGCTTGTCAGGCTCAGGCTTCATGGGTTATGTGCTCATGAGAGTCAAATTTTCACGCTGACACGCAGCTTGTGGTTATGTTATCTTTCTTCTTTCCTTTTAATGAACGCAATATGAGCGTGTGTGTCTGTGAGGGTTGGGAAATGCTTTAATAAATAGGCAAAATATTTGAGGAGACTGTAGAATACAGACAGATGGAACAGTACTGCTTTTGAATGCATGACTCCTGACAAAAACAAGTTTTGTGGACAAAGAAAACAACAAATGTTTGAAGAAAAAGTTGCTGGAGAAAAGAGAAATTGCAAAGTCCCCTTTCTCCAGTTTACATCACAAAAGATTCAAGAAACCTGTGTTATTTCAACATCTTTTGATTATAATAGGAAGAGTTTCCTTTTCTGCCTTTCTAAAATGCATCTTCTCCTTTTCTTCCAGTCTTACAAACTTCTCATGCTTCCAAGGGTTCACATATAGAGATCCTAGAGATTGCTTTACCCCAATCCTCACACGCACACCAAAAAGGTAAGTGTTCGCTTTGAGCAAAGCAGGCTTTTCCCATCTTTTTCACACATATTCAAAACAAAAGGAAATGCCTGTCACAGAGAAACACACAACTCTTTGGGAATTGTCTGTGGCAGCTCTATAAAAAGTGAAGCTGTGTTATAAGGAGAGAAGTGTAAGTGGGAAACATAGGGAGGCGAGGCAACCAACCAGGTTCTTCATTCACACCTGTGAACAGCATCCTGTGCTCCCCGGGGTAAAGCATCCAAATCGTGTAGTAGAAAAACAGACTGTGCTTGCGCATCCCACCATTTCTCGCTTCTTCTTTTTTTTTCCCTCTTCCGTTTGTTGGAAGGGTTGCCCTCCTACGCAGCTCTTCCCATCAGGGAACATTTGTTACAATGATTGACACACTGCTGAAACATTAATGTTCCTAAGGCAGATATCCATGTCATTTGCATTTCATACTTTGTTACACAATCGCAGACCTACAAACGACAACAATGCCTGTTCCGATATTTAAAAACGGTTACTGTGGTGGCAAGGTTTGGCAACACTGTCTACAGCAGCACGGATAACTTGATAGCTGGACTGATGACATTAGACAGTGGGCCAAATTTTTAAACACAGCCTGAACTTTTTTAGATGAGCGGACTTTAAGTAGTCTTCAGGAATAGTTCTTCAGGCTTCTTGAAGGACACTCAAAGCTCTTCTTTGGATCTTGGCTGCCTTTTGGTCCATTCTCTGTAAAGATAATTCCACACTGCTTCAATAATGTTGAGGTCTGGGCTCTGGGGAGGCCAATCCATGCCTGATAGTGCCGCATTGTGTGTTTTTCTATCCAGTTATGGTTCTACTGCATTGGCAGTGTGTTTGGGATCATTGTCATGCTGAAAAATTAAGCTGTTGCCTATTACAAGGTTTCCAGATGGTATTGTGTGTGACTCAAAAATGACCGTACTTTTCTGCAATTATAATGCCATCTATCTGACAAGATCTCCAACACCACTGGCTGAAATGCTGCCCAAATCATGACAGAACCTGTTTCTCTCCCTTACATATTGATGAACATATACACTAAAAATGACAAATTTGTGTCCATTAGACCTGTTCCATTTGATTTTAACACGAGTTCTTGGGTAGTATGGCATAACTCAGCCTTTTCTCCTTGAAGAATGGCTTCTTGAAGCATGAATCTACTATATGGCCAGATATAGTTGGATAATTCTTTTTGTAGATTCAGCTAAAGAAAGTGTCCTGTTCAAAAAAAATACAAATTAAAATGAGTTCTTTGCTAAGCTCTCTGCTGTGTGCATCCATAGATTGACAGATCACTGCATTACTTTTGCATTACTCCATAAAATGACCTGAGACTACAGTCCCACACAACAAAATGAATCCCTATCCTGATGAGGACACACACAACTTATGAACGTATGAACACAAAACTAACAACACAAAGCAAAGTTAAAAACAGATTTCCAAGCATCACCAAAGTAGTTATACAGTACAAACATGTACAGGTGGAAAAATTAGGCTATAGTCCCGCAAGCCTTACTGCTCACTCTCATTGCTTTCACTATCCACTGAAGTAGAGGCTGTGGCTGCTGGGCTGGGGTCAGCATACAGCTTTAACATCACTTTGCTATGCAGATGCTTGCAGAGAGCTGAAGTTGTGTATCAGCTGTTGCAGTTGTTTTTGTCCTGGACACAGTTTGCATTTCACCATTGTAATCTTCTTCTTTTGTGCAATAAAAATAAAAGTGACGTCTGTATCTCCACTCCTAAGAAGCTGTGGACTTCTCCACCATTTCCACAAACTGTTGTTAAACCCAACACGGGTTCATTCTGTAAGTTTGGTGCCATATTTATGCTTGAAGGATTCATTGGTTAGTGTTAACTGGCTTAACAGACAAACAACTGTTCCTCTGAAAATGGTCAGGTACTGTCAAGGTACCTGGGTTGTTGACCTAGTGTTTTCAGTATGGACACTGTTTAGTTTCCTATGTATGTTTCCTGCTTTATTGTGATAACCTGTTGTTTATATGCATTATGTTTAGTTTTACTTCCTCTGTTCCATTAGTTAGATTCATTCCAGCTGTGTTCTCAGCTGTTTCCAATTCTCATTTACCAGTCCAGTTTCTATCAACTCCTTGTGTGCGTTTCCCGTCATTTCTGTTCAGTCAACAAACACTCCTTGGAGGCAAAACACTAAGAAATGAGGTGTGCACAGTATTGCACATGGATGCCAATCTTATCTTATTATACCTGCTTTGGTTTCATGTTAAATTTGTGATGGTTAGTTTGCTGCAGTTGGTGCAACTTGTTAAATTTTACAATAATGCCAAAGTTAGCTGGCTGAGAAAATTTGTTGTTTGTTCGAGCAGTAGTGGTGACTTATTTCTGGAACTTTCCCCCAAAACTTTTTTAATGGAAACAGGGAACACTGACATTGGAGCATTTCCACCTGGTGAAACTTAATCTAAAGGAAGACTGACATTGAATCTTAATGCTGCCTCTTGGAATGAACTGCAGAATTTCCAAGGTAAATCTTTTCAGATTTTCTGCTGAAAACACAAAGTCTTTTGTCTTCTCTGACAGAATATAAGAAGATGTATCAACAGCTTTTCAGTTCACTTCAGTTTAGGTTTATTTATATTGTGCAAATCACAACAACAGTCGCCTCAGGGCACTTTACAGAGTAAAGATATTACAGTATTCTTAAAGAAACCTGGAAAATCAAGCCACGCCCTATGAACAAGAGCTTTGTGATGGTGCAAAGGAAATATTCCCATTCAACAGAAAGAAACCTCCAGCAGAGCCAGGTTGAAGGAGGGGCAGTCATATGGGGGAAAGAGAAAAGGAATAAAGAGAGAATAGACAGACAGGACAAAACACCGAATAAGAGAGAGAAAAGCCAAAAATCTAATGACACACTGCTGTGGTAAATTAACATGTGTGAAATGAAAAGAGATGAGACTTGGTGCAAAATAATAACAATGTAAAAGGTTTGGAAAATTGTCCAGCTGCCTGCTCCAAACTCAAATCAATGGAAAGCAGCATTTTTGACATGGAATCATTCTTCCTTAACATGTCGCAGATATTTTTGTCTCTTCAGACATGGTCACTGAGGCACTGTGTTAATTTCATCCCTTCTGTTATTTGTAGTTGCAGTAGGACAGCTCATGCCTGTTTGTTTGGAGGTTTGGCAGCTGCTGCAAGTCCAGTGACATCATCATGCTGGCACAGTGATTACTGAGAAATGCAGTGAAAACAACATGGCAATGACTGCTAAGCACCAAAGACGTCTCCAAATACAAACAAACAGACTGCAGATAATCACTTAGAAATAATTTCATTGACTGGTCTTAAGAAGAGTGGAAACATAAGACACAAAGATGAAATAAAGGCATTTTCAGGTTTTCTTTCACCGCAAAAAATAAGTAGCCGGATTAAACTTGGGTCAGGGCTGCTTAAGTCCACCAATAATCGACCGAGTCAAGGTCAACAACCCAGTCAGTCCTGCATAAGCCCTGTGTGGATTGGTCAAATATTTCTCAGCAATGATCACACCACGCTTTCAGATGCTTTTCTTCCAGTGAGAGCTTGTGAGTGTTTATTTCATGTGAAAATGATGCTATTTGTGCTTGATGAAAATGGAAGATCAGCATCAATATTTAGTGAAGCCATTCAGCAAATATTAGATGCTCACCAAACCTTGGAGGTTAACATCACAGTTTTCAACAAAGTTGGAAAAATCAGGTAAAAAAAAACCAACTTAAAAATGAGAAGCTACATAATGACCGGATCTACGATGTTACATCTTTGTCCAAATTAAGTGTTGAACAGATTCAAATAATCACACACATTTTGCTAGTGTATGATATACTTAAATGACTGTGTGATAAGTGTTAAATGACAACAGCTAAAACAATAAAGTCTTCCGAAACAGGAAAATAATGTAAAAAACAAAAATAAAACAGTAAACAAAGGCTATTGTTACGTGTCTGCAGGCTGCATGTTTTCTTTCCCTCCCCTTTTGTTTGCCATTCCCTTAGGTTGCAGACTGCAGGCTGATGTCAATCTGGGCACGTCCAATTAATTAGAGGAGGGAGGCCCTGATTGGACAAACCAGGAGTGAAGCCCTTGATAAGGAGACTCACCTGTGGCTTGGCGCGGCTCTCTTCCCTCCTTGAATTGTTTGACACATGTGTGATGGTTTCCTGCTGTCTTTCTTTTGTTTGATGATTGTGGTGGGAGTAAAGTGGACTAGGTGAGTTTGGGGACCCCATACACTTACTCACGTAGAGTCTTTGTGTTAGAAACACTAGGTAAGTAGGTTGGTGCCACCCATGTAATTTTGAGCTTATTTTAAGTTGAGGTTTGGGTCTATCTCTCCTGTTTGTTGCTTTTCTAGGATAGTAGCTCAGCTCAGCTAAGTTTTGGTTTTGTCTTTTTGGTGGTTTTTTTTTTTTTTTTTTTTTTTTTGGCACAACCTAACTGTCCCTTTTCCCCCCACATTTGCTGTTTGAGTCTGGGTTGTTTATTTTGTGAGAGCGCTGCCATTAAACCTTTTTTCATAATACCTGTACTGAGTTTCCGGAGTTGTTGTGTTATCCCCTCCTGCCCTCGGGGAGACGTAACACTATAAATATTGAAAATGAGGCAGTAAAATGTTTAAATCTCTTAATGACCCATTAGCTTCCCAATTTTAAGGTTTTCCCACGGTGTGAAGCAATGAGTGTAATCAACCGCTGCTTTACAAATGTGGTGTTTAGATGGTTTAGATACATATCTCAAACCGGAGATACTTGCAGCTGTCTTTTATTATTAGTATACACTTAAATAATATTTTTCTTTATTATTATTACAGTGTATAGAAATACTGCGGAACCAGAGTGAATCTGTTAACTCATTCCAGATCAATTTAAGGTTCCTTTGTTCATCTATAGTAAGAAATCAAATCACGAGGATGCCTTTGCATCTGTGACTACAAGCTGAGTTCAGACTGTTTTGAAATACTTCATTCTAAATGAGCAGATACTGGACACAATCATGGATTACTGAACACAAAATTTATGTAGTATATTACAGCAAAGCAAACATATATTCAGACTTTAGACCCCATTTATAACCATGTATAGGCATAACCACATGTCTATATATGTTTTATATGTGTATACAAATAAATAATCAATATAATATCATCAGTTTTGTTTTAACTCTCCACAACTGGGATCAGTGAAGTCGCTAAAATCAAGGCTCTATTACAGTACCCATCTATTTTCAGAAACCATTATAATTCAGTGTTCAGTGAGCTACAGAAAAACAACGCAGCTTAATGAGTTTATTTTTAGAGGCTGTGTTTTGAATATTTATGAATTTCTTTAAAGAATGAAAAAGTTGCTTTTATAATCAAAAAAGGATTTTTTTTTTTTTTTTTTTTTTTAAAAAGAATGACATTTTATGCAGTTCTTTAAAAAGTCTATCCTGTGCCGATTCTTCCTACATCATTAGTTAATGATACACCGAAGGGCACATGCTCATGACATCACATCTGTGATTAAGCTTTTTGTGCCAACCCCCCCGGGCAGCTGATTGCACAGTAAACAGACACGTACTGAGAAACAGCTGTCACTCACTCGAGTCTCAGAGGTGTCCATCACAAAGGCTCGCAGATCTAGAATTCTCACCATCTGCTGCTGTTTTGCTGGACGTGCAGTGCAGGCCCAGATCACTTCCACTGTTTGGTGTAGGAGGAATCGTCACTGACCGACGGCAGCTTGCAAGCATGTTCGGAGCCATATGGGGAAAGATTGACTAGCGCATGTTTCACAAGGCAAAATCATTATTGTTTGACTCACAGTTTCAAATTTCGCACCCTCCCGGACACACGCCATCTAGCTGCTCGTTTAGGACATTAATTTACAGCTTATAATCACCATAGAGGCCAGGACATAAATACTCGACTCAGCACCCAGTGTCACATGACTGTCTGTCATAAATAAATTACTTTATTCACACAAATGTACGACCAGATAACTTCGTTAAGGACAGCCCATGCAAAGAGGCAGATAGAAACTGGAAGTGCTGCACAGGAGGACTTGGTAGCCATGACAATAAAAATTAAATATTTAACTTCAAGTAGATGCTCGTTCATTTAACTAGAAGTTTATCATAGAAGCCAAAAAAAAAAAACTTTCTTGAAGTGCAATCTGCAACCCACTGTGCATGCTCATTAACGTTTCTGACTCAGCTTAAACACCCAAATTTGCACTAGAAACAAAAACAAAATATCTCAATTTACACTGAAGTTCTGCAGCTATAAAATGCTAATGTTTTTAAAATACTTTTGCTCTCTAATTTCTCCACATGCCAAACACTGTCCTGATTATTATTAATGATTATGATTAAGTAAGGATTGTATGACTACAGTTAGGCAAACGTGGCCTAATCATTAGGTAATGCTGTTCAAACAGCACCACAGGACATAAATTTCAGTGTTATGCAAAAAAGAAAGATAAGAAAAAAGAAAGTTAGACAAAAAAAAGTCTAAGTTCGTGGTTTTTAGGCAGATTTATTGAAAAACAGCAACAACAAAAAAACAACCTTTGAGCACTAATGCTAAACATTTAAAACTAATGTTTCCTAAGTGGCTAAACTTCAGTCTGCATAATTCTGAGGCAAGCTGACTCTGCAGGCGCAAGAGTCTTTCAGAGGTAAACTTTATTACAATCAAAACCACCGTCTCTTCAGTCAGTGCATGGCCAGACAGGAAAAGGGAAAACAAAATGCAGCGCTCAGACAAAATGCCTAAGGTTTAAAGCGGGGAGGGAGCGAGAGAGAGCGTATCGATCTTTGGTCCCAACTGCTTCCTCTGTCAGCAAAATTCTATTTCTAGATCCAGCATATCTCATGAAGCCAATCAGACCCTGATTTGCGCTGAATGGCACTATATTACCTTGTTGTTCCTCAATTTGCAGTGATCTATTTATATACGAGCTTGCTAAACTAGACTGTCATTTAAGCTAAATTTAGGTGAGACGGAGAGACTGACAGAGGCAAAACTCCTTGTCATACTGTTGTGAAGCTTGCACTGCATCCCAGTTAATTGCCTCATCCCATGAGTAAATTCCCACTCCGAGCGGTGCTATCAACCCGTGCGACACATTACCTAGCTAGCATGAATGAAACCCGAAGGTAGTGAGCAATCCCCCTTCCTCGTGTCAGCAGACGTTCATGAACAGTGTGGTAATGCAGAAACTCGAAGTCTACACGGAGACTGCTTTTGCAAACAAAACTGCAAAAGTGTCAGAATCTTCCCCGCAAAAGGAGGGGTGTGGAGATTTTTTCCTATCAAGCTGCATTGGAGACTCTTGTGGGGCTTGTGAGCGGTGCCAGTGACAGGAAAGTCTCCTGAGAGGAAGGGTCTCATGTTCATGATCTCAAGCACTTGGATGTCGCACTTGGTGACAATATAATGTGGAGAGCAAAACTAACAAAGTCCTGCTTTACTGCTTTAACAAAGATGCTCTAACTGAACACAGCTGACATCGAGCAGAGTATTTATTTATTTTATTACTTAGCCAGAAAAAAAAGCCTCTGGAGAAATGTTTGGAGCAATCAATGAATTCCGATTAAATCAACAACTGCAACGGTGGGGCTGTTGTAGATGAGAGGCATCTGTGGGTGATGCAGCATGATTCATGACGATCTCAAGAGTCATTCATCCGCTATCAGCCAGTCATCTTCCCAAACCTCTGGGTCAGCCCCGTAATAAATATAGATGTTGACACACAGATTCTACCAGTCACGGGAGCAGACAATCCATGTTGTGGGTGGACTGAATCTGGCCCCATGTCCACACCTGACACCCTCCAATTATACGTGACAGATGCTTGGCGTGTGCACACGCACATTAATACTCTACAGCATGGAATGAAATCTCCATATCTGACACTGCCCCCCACCTCCTCCACTTCTCCTTTTGTTCTCTGGGTGTATGTGACCAGATGTGGCCCTACTACAAATTTAATAAAGGGTGCTGCACTGCTACTGTGTGTGTCTGGCTGCAGTGTGTGATAGACTTTGACACTTTTTTAAGTGTATAAGCCATATTGTTGTTGTAGCATGCATGTAGGTGTATGGATATGTGCGCCTGGTGTCTGTTACACATGTAAATACTGATCCTATGGATGGGTTTTACCAAACCACCTTATTAGCAGGCTCCATGTGTCAGTGGTTAATCCCCTGGTCTCTCAGGGGATGCCCCCTCCCTCTTTTCCTCCTCCTCCTGTCACCCCCTCATCACCACCTCCACAGATGGGTCCTTTTATTTCCCCACAGAATACTAATGATGGCAAAGAAGGATTCCAAAGGGGCTGGTGTCCCCCCCCCCCTTTAATGCCAGCAGCGGGGAAGAATGGCAAGCAGTGGATGAGGGAGGGGAGAGGGAGGGTCCTACAAGCAAACAGACAACAGCTAATACAAACAAAGATGGATGTTTAAGTGCTTTCCTTTGAATGAATGAAGTGTTTCTATGTCAGCCCTGTCTTTAAGAAGATGTGTCTATATATTTTCTGATGAAGAAAATGAGTAAATGCTGATACTTTAGATGTCAGTTTCCCAAATGTTCTGACTGTATGTAGTACTGAGCTAAAATCTGGTTTCAAACCTGATTTCTTTATGTTTCGCTTCAAAGGAGCCAGACTTAAACCATTCCTGTAACTAACATGTGAACAGTTCCTG